GAATGACGAAAACGACCCTCTTGTCAAACTTTTGGGAGGTGATGTACAAAGGCACAATCCCATCGTTGAACTCGTGGTAGAGATTACCCGTGTACCCTCCGGTCGAGAAGAACACGGCCGGGACATCGTGGATGACGTCACACTTATAGTGTTCCTGGCCCGACCTTCTTCGGACAACGAGGTCCAGTTCGCCGATCCTGTCCATCACGCCGGTTTCCCATTTTCGAGTGTAGGGCCGGATTTTCTCAATGCGAATGGGGCCGGATTCGGGCCCACCGGATTGGGAGGGGATGGGATCATCCGGGCCGTTGGATACGTAGAGAGTGATGGAGGAAGATGGGGAGTGGGTTCGCACGTCGCCTTTCATTACGCATACGTCTGTTCTTATGCTCGTTCGGTCACAACATAAGGTGCCTAAATCAAGAGAACACGAATCATTTGTCAAAATTCAGACTAACCAAAATAATTATGGTATTCATTCCAGTTTATGTGACCCTAAAACTTTTGTCTTAATTTCTTTACTTTAGTTTTGCTTTTTACTGAATGAAAATTTGCTACTTTGAACTAATAATTCTTTTATACATCGTAATTGATTATTTGTTGGCTCTTCGATTTCAAAAGCTATGCTCATTATAATAATTAATGCCAAAATAATATACCAATCATGTATAACAAATCTTAGACATATAAATCTATAAATATTTTTTTTATCAATATGCTCATTATAAATATTTGATGATAATTCGACAAATTAGTATATATTCCTCTTAAAAATCAGGAAGGTCATTGAACAAATATTGATTAATAAAATTTGAATTTGAAATTTAAATTCTTGAAAATTAGTTGATAAATTTGAACAATAAAGTAACCGACAACAAATTTAGAGAACTGCGAGATAATATATATATAAGAAAATTTATTTTGTAGTCCAACTTTGATTTCTAAATTTAAATGTCAAATAAGTAATTATTCACAACTTCGGATTCAATATTAACTTAGACCTAAATGAAATAGTCAATTATTTATACCTTAATAAATTACTCATCAACTTAATTTTTTATTAAACTACTCAAATACTTAAATTTTTTTATTTGGATAGTTTATGAAAAAATAAATTTATTTTAATTAATGAAACAATATTATTTTATATGTATACTTATTATTCACATATATTTTTAAATATATGTTAAAACTTATCAAAATAATTATTTTGTGGAATCACATTGTAGTCAAATCGAATTTCTGAATAAAAATTTTAAAATAACACTTATTTTGAAATGAATATAATATAATTTATAATCAATTACGTGCACCGTACGAGTTGTGTACTTATTTTAAATAAACATATCTATGTAATTTTTTCACAATTTAAATTCATATAACATTTTCAATAATAAAGGAAAACTGCATTACATATTAATTCTATATTTTTAATTTATAAATATTATTTAATAAATATTTTCAATTTATAAATACTAAATAATATCTTTTACCTTGCATCGCACGAATATTAGTACTGATACATTAAAAAAAAATAGAAAGATACCATTTTTATGAAATTAAAAAAAACAAGGAAACAAACATAAACTTTGATTTTCTCTAGCCGGGCACTAACTCTTAGATATATCTCTTGCATAGCAAGAGCCACCTTACCATTAGGAACAGATGAACAGAGCGAACCGTTCACACCAGCCTCAGCACCAAAGCCATGTCCATTAACGCCAAAAAAATCTACAAAAAAAATAAAAATAAAAAATAAAAATCAATTAAACTTGCACAAATTAAGAAACTTGAACATTTTAAGAGCAAAAAACAAAGGGAAAGAAGGAGAACTAACAAAGCAAGGATGGCAAGAACAAGTAGCAACAGGCCAGAGAGAGAAAAATAAGATAGAAAAACTGGGGCTTTGCCATTCTCCTGCTAAAAACAGAGCTTTTGCAGCTTAACCCAAAAGGGCCAGTGCAAGACTCATCATCTTCACCAACAAGGTGCTCTTTGTTCTTCCACATCAAATACAGGCTTTTTCTATGGTATTTCACCATTTTTAGCTGTTTTATTTTCTCTCCTTTCTTTTCTAATCTCTATGAACAATTCTTGGTCACAGGGACGGTGAGGAAGAGGAAAAACTTGTGTGTTTAGGTTGACAAGAATGGAGCTTTATATTGTAGAGAGAGAAAGGAACATAGGAAGTTTTGCCTATCAAAGGTGCTCGTGCATATGCATAGTGCTCTTAAATTAAATGAGTCTGACTCAGCTCGGTTTGTTAAGGTCTCGGGTCGAGCTAGAGTTCATTTAAAGTTTGTTTGGTTAATTGGGCGAGCTCGGCTCGAAAATAGAATATTTATGTAATTTTCACAATTCGGCTCGTTAAAGCTCGAAATCGGTTCATTAAGGCTCGCTCGTTAATAGTGATAAACAAGTAGAGCTCGAGCAGCGACAACAGGTGTCGCACCGGCAGTGGGCACGTGAGCAGGCGGTGTGCTGTGCTGCTTCGTGTGCGGCGAGCCTAGACACCGTCAGGCGATCTGTTCGAAGGCGGGCGGCTCACACACCTTTTTCGCGGATGCGCCTGATTCACCCGAGAATGCGGATCCACCGATTTTCGACGAGTAACCATCCCTGGAGGAGGAACACGTGTCAGGCGACGTCGGTCCGTTACTTGTTATTCAATGTTCTTGTTTATCTCTGCGTTCGTCGTTCGACGACGCCTTTCAACATCACCATATATTTGAGTCGTCTTGCAAAGTGTGGCGGGCGTGTTTGCCGCTTTATTATCGACTACGGATCATGGGAGAATGTGGTGGCTTTGGAGGCTGTCGAGAAACTTCATTTGGCGAGTGAGTCTCATCCTCAGCCTTATACTCTTGCATGGATTTAGCGGGGCATTCCATTATGGTGGATCGACGCGTTTTGGTTTCTTTTTCCATCGGCACAAAGTATAAAGACGCGGCTTGTTGTAGCATGGTGCCTATAAACACATGCCATCTTCTCTTAGGGTGCCCGTGGAAGTTCGATCGTCGGTTCGTGCATGATAGTCGCCTTAATACCTATGGCTTTCTTTTTTACGGCGTTCGTATTGTATTTCATCCTTAGCCGCCTCAATCGTTGCCTACGCAAGCACCGTCGTCAATTTTATTCCTATCTCGCCCAGTCTTTGTTTGGGAGATGTGAGTGAGCCCGTTTGTCATTCTGCTCATGGGCGCAAATTCGACCGGGTATGTTTTGCCTCCGAAGGTGGTCCTTTCGTTGCTTCGGGAGTTTGTAGATGTCTTTCTGAAGGATTTGTCAGGTGGTTTGCTACCATTGCGGGATATACAACATCAGATTGACCTGGTGCCTGGTACTTCTCTACCTAATTGTCTGCGAGTACCCCGACCGCGTCCACCGCGAACCCAACCCCCCAACCCCTCCCCCCACCCCCCGCCCGGCCTCCAAGTACTCCGTCTGGTGTACGGTTCGCACGACCACGATTAACAGTGGTATGTAGAGCCAGCCGGATGCCCTCGAGCCTCGCGACTAGATCTGCAACTTGGCGTCCCAACGCCTCGCCTTGGTGTCTCAACGCCTCGATCATGGCATTACGCATGTGGCATGCAACATTGTTCCGTTTTGTCGGCATCGCGTATTAATCGTACTGATCTGCTGATACCAATTGTCGTAGCAAAAGCACAAGCGAATGGGAGAATCAAGTGAAAACTCTAAATATATTTTTATTTCCATCAAAATTCAACAAATCTCTCAAACCAAATATAAGATGAGCTTTTAAATAGAACTCCTAACTCTACGTAGATATCTTGAGACGCCAACAAGTAGGTGACTAATAAAATAAATATGTTTCCTACAAATTTAGGATTACCTTAATAATTATTAAAATAAATAAATAAAACAAAAGAAAATAAATTATTAAACCTGTGATAGTAGACGATCAAGGTCATCCCAATCTCGTCACATCAGTATAAACATCAATTTTGGTACTTGGAGAACAACTATTCAACGAAATCTCAGCTCAAAGTTTTTTTAGCACTATCCAGTGAAATTTGCTTAGTTCTGAAAACCGGACCGGACCGGCCGGTTCAACCGGTTGGATCGGGAACCGGCCTTCATTCCAGTCCGGTTTGACCCATAAAATCGCGCAGCGATTGAACTGGTTAAAAATTGTTCCAACCGGTCCAAAACTGGTTGAACCGGTGAACCAGGACCGGTTCGAATGGTTCAAGTTTTTCCTTTGCCTGCACATGACTTCACATTCCAGCAGCCATATCTGTCAACGGATATGTTTGACCAATTTAAAACTGAATCAGATACACATACAACTTTTAATGTCTAAATTCAACATTGCTGACTAAATTTCCACATCCAATCACTAATTTATTTCTCCTTTAGAAAAAAAAAAGTTCAATTTTGATATAAAAATTAAACCTGTGACACCTAATTGGTCATTCACATGGCCAAGAAATCATTTAATTTAGATTCCAGTATTCAAACAGTCCTGTTGATGGGCATGAGCATCTATCAAGTGTGGATTTGTACAAGAACACAATTATTTTTTAATATATTAAATCAAATATATTAAAAATTAAATCTATTGACATGAGGCTATATTATAATTATTTTTAATATATTGAATGAAATATGGAGTCCTAGATTACTCTAATACATATAAAATTAAAATAATAAAATCAGTCACATATTCTTTTTTTGTGATAAAAAAACTAAAAAAAAATAAAATAAAAAACAACTTGAACACTGTGCTCACTGTTCAGTGATGTGCAGAATTGAGAGGCTTGCAAGGAGCATAGAATCCATGAGGAACATCAACAAGTTATTCTAAAAATTGAAGTACTGTTTTTCAATACAAAAAACACTTCGTATAGCCGATCAAGAGAACTTGTTTTACCTCTCTCGATGGGTGCTTCAAGTCGAAGCACTCGTTTTACCTCTCTCGATGGGCACTCGTTTTACCAACATTTTCAAATAAGCCTAACTAAAATGTCATCATCCTAAATCCAACGTTTTGTTAACTTTGTCGAGGCCCGAACCTGAGGGGGTGGTGTTGTCCCAGCATTTCGATTCCCATTGTCATCTGCACAATAAATAAAAGCTTAGATAAATGTGTGTGATCAAAATAATCCAAGTTCACAATATCATAATTGATGCATGAAGTTTCTAATGTTCTTTCTTTTTTCTTTTTCTTTTTTTTTTTTTTGGCACTCACAAGAGTCAGTCGAGACCCCTCCAAGTGAAGACCGCCGAGAAGTAGGTTGTTGTACGCCGGTCAACGACTGTCTCCTCACGGCCCTTGCATTCGTCGATATCGGAGATTTGGGGCCAACACTACCACCTGGCAACGTTATTTCAGTTGGTTTTTGTTGGTTCCTGTTAATTAATTAACATTAATCACATTATTAAACATATATACGAACTGGTTTAAGTTCTGTACTTAACCATAAATTGCATGATTAGTTGCAAGTAGTAAGTACCTCTTTTCTGAACCATTGATCAACTTGCCGATTGTCCGAAGTGATTTTTTCAATTGAGAACCTTTCTTGTGAGTCAAGCAAGGCGTTTGCATTTCTGAACTAATATTACACCCATTCCCCGGTTTTAACTGTGGCTCGGGTGTGCTAATCTTCATTCTGGCTGTATCAACTTTTTTGACTGGGGTTTTGATGACAGACGAGCTTAACGGGCTCAAAGGGGACCGGGCCCCTCTGTGCCCAAGATGACAGGGATTCTTTTGCAGGCCCTCGAGGTTCGGGCCCTCGAGGCTCAACCTTCGTGATCGAGCTTTTGCGGGCCGGGAAGTTTCTTGTTCGGGCCCACCACTCTCGATGCTCAGCCTTCTGTTGGGCCTTGGTGGGAAAACCGAGGGGGTTTTGGCCCCATATTCGATGCTCAGCCTTCTTGTGGACTTTGGTGGGGTCACCTTCTCGATGCTTAGCCTTCTCGACTTTGGGGGCGTTTTTGCTGCCTCCTTGAATCTTTTCGTTGGGGGCGTCACGATGTCACGGTCGGCTAATGCCTTTTTAAGGTTCTCTATCTGTGAAAAAGAAAAAAAAGGATAAAAAATTAAAATAAAACAAAAAGAATGAAGATGTTTGTAGCTTAAATAGCATGTAACCAAGAAGAAGTCCATATATATATACCTCTGCTTTGAGCTCTAAAACCTCACTGCTTTCCTTATTCGCACGAGCTGCACCGAGTTCCACAGTAGACACTCTTTGAGCAAACTTTAAAGTGCTCATTGTCTCTCCAAAAGAATCGCCTTCCGGGCTCACATGAGCGAACATCAACGTTTTTGCACTTCCTCCTAAAAAAACAACTCAAAACTACAATTAGCAGATGTTACATCGACAAATTCTTGTTTTTAGTGGTAATTTGAAATAAACACACTCACAAATGGTATATTTAGTTACAAAAGATAAGTAAACTTTTTTTTTTCCTTTTAGAAACAATTATGATAAACAAACATCAAGGTACTAAATACTTCTCGTTAAAGAAGACACATGATTGTTTAAACAAATACGTTCCATTAAAATGGAGTAAACTACCTAAGGAGTTCTGGAGAAGTAGAGTGAGCTTGCTGTTTCGGTAGGGAATATGAGAGTTCTTTTGGGCCAAAGCCGTTATAACATCGACCAAACAAGAAAGAGATTTGTTTATATGCTGTGCCTCTCGAAGCCCATCACCCGTCACTTCCGATTTATCCACACGCTCGCTGCCAGCTAAATCCACCAGATGGAGGCAACTGTGGATGAAGCTTCCGGAAGCATCTTCTCCATGCACATGCACGGACAGTACACTGCACACATAAAAACAACAAATAATAAATATAAATTTAATTCTCAGCTAATTATAAAAAAACTAAATATGAGAAACTTAAAAATTTTGACCTGTGTGAACGGCTGCTTCTAACATTAATTGCAGTCGAGCCAACTGCACGATTCACTTCACCGAGTTTCATTAACTTTATGACATCATTTGCTGACTTAACTGGACAAAGTGTAGCATCTGGGAGAACCAAGCTGCTGTTTTCGCTCACACAACTGCGGATCTCTAATTTATTAAATTAGTTAAAGCAAACAAGAAATTGCAGTGCATAATCTGTTGAGATGTTCTAACTGGTAAACAAGATTTAAATATAGAATGTCTAAATGCAGAAAAGGATATTTTTTGGAGCCTGAGTCCTTGGCAAGAAGATCGTGAATTTGCTCGTTGTAAATCTCAACCATCTGCACTTGAATTTCGTACTTTGTGATGCCCTTTCTTTGGTCCGACAGTTCGAAAAGATCGGTAAGAGCCAAATAACTGATTCCCACCTGCTCGGTTGATCCACCCGGAGGGCCATACTGACAAGAGAGAAGAAATGATTATATTTAAGACCAAAGCATAAAAAGAAAACTTATTAAAACAATGAATTGGCAGAAAATATGTAACTCTATACTCACCATGGTATGTGTTTTTCCTGACCCGGTTTGACCGTAAGCGAATATGCAAACATTGTAACCGTCCAATACGGATCTAACAACAGGCTGAGTGTCTCTAAAAACCTCAGCTGAAAAAAAAAAATAGGTCTAAATTAGAAACAAAAGAACTAAGAAATTATAGCCCTCTTGACATATAAGTTGGTGCCAATTACCTTGGCTAGCTGATGGATCAAACACATGATTAAATTGGAATATTTTTTTTCCATCTTTAATAGGCTTTGGATCTACAACCACTAGAGATCCATCGTTTCCAATAAAATCAATGACATTTTGCACTTTGGAATCATGGGCTGGTCTAATCCTGCAGTAAACCCGAATATTTCCTGAAAAAAGGATTAAACAATATAGTCTCACCATAAATTACTTTCAATAATTCCCGCTCATTCTTTGTAAGACACAATTTACTTACCAGAGACGTAAAATCATGTGAAATATAGCTGAATTATATAACGATGTATAAGGTTTGACTAACCTTTCAGATCTTGAACCATGTTGTAGAGATTCCTATTCTCTTTAACAGCATTGTGATAACCAAGAGCAGCATTAGACATCTCGATCACTTGTTCTCCTGAAATAAACAAACAACTCATTTACTTTAAGATTTTGCAATAGAGCATTTGCTATCAGCACATTTTGGTGAAACATTAGGTTGTTCGTATAGAAAAGCACCAAGTTCTTTAAAGTCCTTTTGAATCTGTAACCGGAGACTCTCAACCTCTTGCTTTGCACTTGATAACAAAAGCTTGATATTCTGCAATGATAAATTGATATTTTCTGAATTGTCCAACTTTTTTTCCATTCGGAGGTAAATAAAATACAAGAACAGGCGTAAAAATAAGGTTTCTTATATGGGTAATAATCTTTTGTAATTGCTGATTAACATGAGACAAGTGTAAATATAAAGGACCCATTGCAAGCTGCTCAGCTGCTAGATATAAAATACAGAGCAATTGAGATGTCGCATATTAATAATGAGCTACAAAAAACTTGAGGCAAATAAATAAATAAGCTAATAAAAGCTTACAGAAAGTTCCTTTTCTTGCTGCTCAACTAGACTCCAGTGGTTGCAGTTACCCTTCCTCAAGCAAGCTCTGCAACACTATTCACCAGATAATTTATTTATATTCCACATATTTATGCAATACAATCACTGTTTATCAAATTGCAAATCATATCAACCCCAAAGTGATGAAAACTTCAATAAAACGAGTTGACATGCCAAGATATTTAGTAAATGTATAAGTAAAATAAACTGACAAAGATAAATATAAGATCCTTTTGTCATGTATTAACAAATATAAATGTTTCACGCATAAACCATCTCCCAACGACCCAAGAAGGAACTTCATGTCTCCATAACAGAATTCAAAAATAAGTTTTATGTCGGAGCTATTAATAAAATTACCTTGCCGTTTTTCAGATTGGACAAATCTTCAATAGGCCTCGAAGTGGGATGCACAGTTGAGCAACTTCTTTGTTTCAAATAATCCAAAATACTTGATTTCATCTGTTGGTAGACACAAAGATAATGCTTCTGTCACAATTGAATGTCAACTACAACTAAGATGGATATACAAAAAGGTATATTCAACTAAAGAATTGACAACTTTACAAAAGTCGCCAAAGTCCCCAAAACTTCTTTACATTTTTCTCTAGGCAGTCTGTCTAACTCAATTCAATTCAATGATGCCGCATGAAATGCACTTTTTTATTATGATAAGCTCCTTCAATGGAATATTTCCTACCTCGGGAAATGTTGCTCGAAATTGTTCCTCTAGGCAAGTTGAGAGTATCTTGCTGAAGGTATTCAGTGAATCCTGTTAAAAGGGAAAAAATTCGTAAAAAAAACTGTATACTTAAACCTTTACATGAAACAAAGATAAAAAAATGAAGCTGCGCACACACCGCATTTCCACTATGATAAGCAGCAACTTGATTACCGTCCATGTTCTCCTTAGTGTCAGCCATATGCTGAGCCAGTGCTTTGACAATTTTATCTGTAGAATTCGAAAACTCAGTTATTAGTGGATAAATTACTAACATGAAAGCATGGGAAGTCCAAAGACATGCCTAACACTAAACAAGAAAACTGAAATATCAATATATCCACATTTAAGTGAAAAAGACTCCCTCTATTAAGTGAAAAATCCAATAAGAGTACATACAACAACCTTGTATGTACTCTACAGCAAAACCAACTACCTTCAAGTTTTTTGAGATCGATTTCTGATGGCATTGGTTTGCTGACACATTTCGACATATCTAATCTTCTGGCACTATCACAAGAAACAAATTCTGGAGCCCGAGCATTGACTCTACCAGCTGAATGCACAACATGAGGCGATCTGGGGGGTTTGTAATATCCATTGCCACCTGTCATTTGTTTCCACTCATAATAATCCTTCAGTGCCAAAATGCAATCGACAACTTTGGTAGATGACCCTTCTTGGACATTTTCCTAACCACACACACAACATAAAAAATGTTGGATTTTGGTACTCACACATTCATTATTTTAACTAATGAAGCAAAAGGGTCACTTTCTTCTCTTACCCTCTCAAAAACAGAAGCCTCGAAATTAGGAAGCTTTAATTCTTGAACGGCCACTAAAAAATTTCTGACGTTCTCAAAGTATTGATAAGCCGGCAATGGCTGGGAATCCCACAATAGTGCTGGTGAAGCCGAAGTTTTTTCTATGACCTGAATCATATTCATTTTTAACTAAAAAAATCAGAAATCAAAATGCTTCAAATCTTCAAGAACTAGGCCATGGATGAATTAAACATAAATGGAGAGATATATATATATACCTTCGGAACCGAACCAGGTTGAATTTTGTTGATTACATTGCAGAGGATTAACCCATTTCTCAAGCAAGAAATGAACTGTTCTTCAGTCGTCTGGCTCGGGATTCCGAGTGGGCCCACAAGGTAATCAAGCCAATGGATAGCTTGATATCTTCTCAAGGCTTTTAAGAAGTTCCCATCAGAGTATATACCCCAACACTTAATTAGCCCTCAAATGATCTCAAATATTCTAATCAAGAATTCACACAAAGCAAAAAAAATGGCAATTGCTATTCCTTGGTAAAGAGCATTTAGATACCAGACGAAACAAGGTAAGACTCTAGATAACTCAACATAATCAATAAATGTTCTATAATTCTTTAAACTGATCTCACCGGGCCCAGTAAAATACATTTTATATATATAAAAAAAAAAATAGTCAAGAAATAAAAACAAGCAATTTTCAGGGAACAATGAAAACGATGTCCCAGATTGACTGCAGATAAAAACAACATAACACAGAGCCCACATTCCAAAATGAAAATTAAAACAGAAAAAACGCCATGCATGCATCTTTGAAACAACTGACAGAGATAAAATCAAACAAAGGCAACAAAAAAAAAAAAAAAATACAATCTTTGCTAAAGAGAATTAAGAAACAAAGCATACCAGCTTCTTCAGCCCTTCTCGAAGCAAAATTCAACTCCTCCACGTTCCCACGCATTCTTGAATCCTCCATCACAACTGCATTTTTTTGCATTCACGATTGATTAAACAAACCCCACACACAAAAAAATCATATAAAACTCAAATGTATGAACGCCCAAAGCCCATAAATGTTGAAATACACAATATCTAACATCATACTTCGAAGGATTTCTTTCCACAACTGGGCCCGATCACAAGGCCCGATCACAAACAAAACAAAACCCGACAAATTTCCCTCTATTGTAGAAAGAGAAACTCAAAACTTGGAAATTTTTTATCAGTTGAGGGAATGAAGCTTTTGATCAAAGCTCTGTATTTACTTTATTTGGGGATTTTTCTTTAGGTTCGGGTAAGCCAAACCTGAGGCTCGGCGAATCGTAACGTTACCTGCTCAATTTGAATTCAATTTTGGCGAGGGCTAGGATTGATCTGGGCCGTAGATTTACCAGCTGCAAGATGATGGGCTTTGGGTTCGGGTTGAGATCTGGATAGTAGTTGGGCCTTTGCTGAAAACAAGATTTCTTACCATAACTTTAATAATTTTATCCTTTTGTGAAAATGCGTAATTTAGTAAATTGGGAGCAATTATTTAAAATTAATACAACTGAGAAGTTTTGAAGAGATTTGTTTCCTTTTTACAATGTCAAAAGATTGAAATTGCAAATTCTTAAATTAAGCAATGCATTAATTTTCCATTTTACCAATTCTGAAGGTATAAATATCAAACTAGTACTAGTACGTAGGGATAGATATATTAAATGAGTTATTTTCACAGCCTTATTCGTTTAAGTCTAAAAAATAATAAGAGTATTATCTATTTTCTACCTCTTTTAATCAATGTTAAGTCTAAAAAACAATAGGGTTACAAGTTTTTTTCCCCATCTTTTAACCTGCGTTGTTTTTTAGTCAGAATATTAAATATGAGCATGTTAGAGCTAGCTTGTAAAATAATTAATATATTATCTCACTAAAGCATTTATACCGATAAAAATTTGATTTAGCATATAAATTTATCCCTTGGCATAAGCAAATGTAACAGTTTTACTTATCCTTGTTCACCATATAATATTTAAGTATTATTTTATTATATAATAAAAAGAAATATTGTTAAATAGTGTAGTAGAATTGTTATCAAATAATATGAATTAATTATTATTTACAATTTAATATCTTTTTATGATTTGATAATATAACTAAAATATATTCTTAATGATATAATAACATAAATTTAAGATTTAAATAATACTATAAAGTTATTCCTTAATGTTAAGATATTGAATTAGGTAATATATGATTCACTAATTTGTATTCTGTCTCCTTTTATATTAAAAATAATCATGTGATTGAGTAGATATAACAATTATCTATAAATTTTTTCATTTAAAGAATAATTTTTAAATTGGTCCAATTGTTGAATGCAACCCGATTTTCTAGTAACTAAAATGAGAAAAGATTTTGAATTTCAAACTTTCACTTCAAAACCACACGTAAATTTGGATGCAGATTTTATTAAAAATAAATTCAATAAAACCCATAATTTTAGAGGAATTTAATGCTACCCTATTTTATGATTTAAAAAATCTAAGAACTTTCTAAATATAGTATGGGTTGACTTTTATTCCTACTTATTATAGTAAATAGGATAGTTTCTTATATAAGTATAAATTCAATAATGTGTATTTGTACAGATATAAATAAAATATTATAAGCTATTTGTATGCATCTATAGTATTAAAATTATAAGTTATATAATGATAATATATTTTAAATATATAGTATTATGAATTATATTTATGCATATAATAATAAAATTATAAGTTAGATAAAGGTGTTATGTTTTTAAATTCGATCATTAATGAAAATAAATGATACATAACGATTTAACAACATATGAATCACTATATTTATTGCATAAAGTATAATAAATAATGTAATTTTTATAATTTTGAGGATCAAGAACAATTAATTAGCTAAAAATATAAAATTTATTATAACAATTGCTTATGCGATCTTAAAGAATATTACTATGATATTAAAATAAATTAATTTATTTAAAAAACAATCACTTAATCAAAAAAATAATATAATATTAATTTTAGAATAAATAATTTGAACAAAAAGTTTTTGCAATATAATTTTTATGTTTATGTAGCTTTCATATATCATTTAGTGTAAATTATACTTATTAATTTTAATAATAACTATTATATGATATAATAAAAAAATAATTATTACTTATTAATATAAATTATAACATTTTTGTCTTAATTAATCCAAAAAAGTCCAAAATTTTTTCTACCATTAATGCGATAGAGTGGATTTATGTATTAATAATAATAATAATAATAATAATAATAATAATAATAATAATAATAATAATTGTAACAATTATTATACTAAAAAAGTGCCACGTATTTATTAAGTTTTATTTATGATGTATTATTTAATTAGTAGCTAGCAATTAAATATATATATATATATATATATATATATATATATATCATTATCTACATTTCATAATGTTCATTATAATAAGAATTGTAATTATAATATTGTGTGTGCATATGCAATATTAGTTCAAATTTGTTCACATGAGATAATATTACACAATTGGATATATAGGAGAGTCAACCATTTAATCTCAACATATTATAGAATTATATATAAGCAAAGTCTACCATTTAATATCAACACATTCTAGAATTATATATAATGAATTTTAGGTACACCTAAATATCCAACTTTAGTGACTTTTCAATTTAATCTGCACCTTTAAAAATGTCCATGGAACAACTCAGTCTTTTTAATTTTTATAAATAAATTGATCAATCCATAAACATTTATAATTTAGGTTCGAAGCATATGTTTTTAGTGTATGTGTTAAAAAAATATTTACATAATTTCTATGTTTTGTATATATGACATTATAAATATAACAAAAAATATTTCCTTCAAAAAATAAGCTAAATGGATTGTGTCAAACTCAAATGCGATCTTCAATACAAAAGATTCTTAGTCAACAAGGCAAGAAGCGATACCGTAACTCATCCTTACTTGCATTTTTTTAGCAAGAAATTATAATATAAGTTTAATTGTAATGCAATTAGCAATTTTTAAATAAATATTTGGGGAATAGTAGTTTGTATGACAATTTTTAAATAAGTATTTGTTAAATAATAATATGTATAATTGTTTTATGAGTATTATTTTAACATGTTATTTATGAATTGAATGCTGCTAAATTAAGCTTTCTTTGAATTCCCGTTTTGAACCAATAGTTAATCAAAAAGATTTGTTTAGATTTTTTTACATTAAACCTAAATGATTGAAAGTTTTAAAAGATAAATTTACAGATAACAAAACCCTCTATTTTTTGTATATATAATAGCACTTATATTTTAATGGAAACTGTGACATATATTCAAATCAACTTATAACAATTTTGGAAAGATATTTGAAACACTTTCCAACTCCCACAAGAATCACAACAATACAAACTTGGGAAAAATTCACCACAGTAAGTTAAAAATTGGGGTGTCACAACAATATATAGTTTATATTTTTCCAAATATCACATTCCATACATACAATAACCCATTTTTTTTTTTTCTTCACCTTTGCCTTCAATAGAATATAGAGAGCCTAACAAAGGTAAAAAGATATACACAAAGGATTCTTCACATGTATTATCAAACATAGTAAGCCTCTACCAAATGGCTATGCACCAAATTGGGGTTGTCCAAACCCATCATTTATTTCCTTTCCATTTTAAATTTCCCATATTTGGTTATCTTGTTTTCTACTTTTCCTCCCCCTTGCCTTCACTAGCCCACAAGGAGAAATTCACTCTAACTAGCCAAAACAAGCAAATGCACCTATTATATTTATACCCCATTTATATCTATTTCACTTATAAAAGTATACAAAATATGTAAATTTTATTGGATTTCTTTGGAAGGGAGAGAAAATGGGAAGCAAAAACTTGTAATAATATCATAATTCTTTGATCTATTATAGGCAAATAATATTAAAAGTAATATTACTATACATACACAACAGAATCAGACGTAAAAATCTGAACGTAATAACAAATTCAATTCAGTGCCAGGAATGAATTAATCAGTTCGTAAAACCAAAAATATTTAATTCGGCAGACTGAGAATATAAATTCACCTACCCGTAAAAAAAAAGCCCTGCGGACCTACAATTAAACGTGTTACGCATGCTGGCATCAGTTACGAGTCACGTTCACACCTGTACAACATCCACACCTATTTTTTTACACAACTGTATAATAAGAAATTCCCGTTAGCTATTTATGAGGTTTTATTATATCGATTCAGCACCAACGAATACTATTACTACCTGCCTTTTCTGGTGTTTCGGATTCGGATTTTTTATAATTTTGTTATCAAGGAAAAATAATTTACATCTTAAAATTACATGTCCCAAAGTTGGTAATTGCCACCACAAGAAGGTAAAATTTGCCTCTACCACCACATGAGGTAAATATTTCTACACATAGTAAACCCATCACACACCTTTCATATTTCTGTACCAATTTTCACAACCTTTGCCTTCATTGCCAAAGATCCCCCAATCCACCGCCCCCACATCCAACCCTAATTTTAAAAAAATAATAAAATAAATAATATTAAAAAAAATATTGACAGTAAATAAATATAAATAAAATTGAATAATAATAATAATAATAATAATAATAACACTAATAAAGATAAAAAGAGAAAACGGTTTTTGTAATACACAAGGGACTCTTCATATATATCCCATATAGTAACCTTCAACCAATAGGAATTGCCTTTTACCATATCTGTAATTTTTATATATATAATTTTAAATTTTTAATTCCATTAATAATTATCTTTCCCAATTTTTTTTTCTATCTCCATATATAGGACAAATGCATTAAATAAAATTTATATTATTTTTTTACCTTACTCTTCTCTATATATATACACATAAATACATATATTTCAACTGCAAGAAGCAAATTAGTAAGGCTCTTTTGTTTGCTGTAAGGAAGAATAAAACAAAGAATTTTATTTTATATTCATAATAAAAAAAAAATAATAAAAAAAATGGGCAGAGGAAAAATTGAGATTAAAAAGATTGAGAACCTCAACAGCCGGCAGGTGACGTTTTCGAAACGGCGCGGCGGATTGATGAAGAAGGCGAAGGAGTTGGCCGTCCTTTGTGATGCTCAGGTCGCCGTCATAATATTTTCCGGCACCGGAAAATTGTACGAGTTTGCTAGTTCACGGTGAGTGAATTTTTTGTGTAAATATTTTTTTTTCTCTTTTTTTAATTCTTTGTTGTTGTTGTTGTTGTTGTTTTCTGTTACTTTTTTTTTTTTTCAATTCTGGTTCGTCACTTTTTTCTTCTCTTGGTGTGATTAATTTGTTTAGTAAATAATAAAATTAGAAAACAAAAAAATTGTATTTTAATGGGACTTATGAAATTTTATTTTACTTTTTTTTTGGATTTTTTTTTTTGAACAGTATTTCCAATCTTGTAGCTGGGTTTTAAACTGTTAAAAAAAAATCTATCAATTTTTGTTATGAAGCCATCAGATGTCTCGACTTATAGAGTCATCCACCCTTATTCTGTATTAACACGTCTCTTACAATAAATAAAATTTGGACAGTTTTCAACACATTAAGTGGTGGATGAATTCATAAGAAAACCATCCGATAACTCCAAATTACATATCGAAAAGGATTTGAGTTTTTGTTTTGGGAGCCCTTGGGAGGAAGACAGAGAACGGGAAACAAAAATATTGGGAAAGAAAGAAAAATAAAATAAAAAAGGGTGTATTTCCTTCTTTAGAATTATAGAAAATATTTAATATGCTAGTTTCTCTGTTGAATATTTCTTAAATTGTTTAAATCGAATCAATATAATATTATATGCTAAGATGGCCTGGGCAAATAAATGTGATGTGTAGTATTGGGCCAAGTGGGCCAGGCCCACATATGGTTAAGCAGCCTATATTAGGATGGGCTGACTTAAGAAACTGTTGTGCCAAAATTGAGCCTGGTTGGATAAGGCATAACTGTATATGATTTCATTAACCAAACCATTATAAGATAAAAGTGAAATAGTTTCTTTCTTAATCATTATTATTATTGTAGAAAAATACTATGGAGAGAAGGAGAAGAAAAATTATCTTCGTCTTATAATTCTCATTAAGATTCAATCAGTAGTGATGTAGAATTATTAAACTTAGTTCGGCTTGACTTGGCTTATTTGATAGACGAGCTGAATTCAAACTTCATTAGTTAACGAGCAGACCCGAGCTCATGAGAGTTTTGTTTCGGCTCACTAAGCTTGAAAAATTAGTGTCTTTTACATAATTTCACAATCTGTTAAAATAACTTGGATCGAGTGTGTTTATTAATTCATTGACTTCAAGAGTTTGGCTCGTCTCGACTCGTTTACTCGTTTACTATCCTTTTCTCTACATTTTCATAAGTTTTTATTCATTTATTTGTAGTATGGAGCAAATTTTATCAAGGTACAACCAAAACAATGAAGGTCTTGAACTTGCAACAGTTGAGCACTCTCCAATTCAGGTAAATTTGTTACTCTAAACTATATATGATCATTTTTACATACATAAATTATATATAGATGTATAATCCCCAATTTAAATCATTTATTTTTATATTTCCTTTTTTATTCTTTTTATTTTTGAAGAATGACTTGGCTGAGATAAATGCTCTGAAGGATGAAATCGAAAGGCTTCAATCGATTAATCGGTACGTTTCAGTCAATTTTGTTAGATATATTAAATTTCACCTAGCTTTGTATTTCCTAGCTAAAATTATTCAAATTTTAAAATCAAGTGCCCAAAATATTAATATAGTGATAAAAATATTAGAAATTCTTATAATTTATTTATTTAATATAAAAAAGTAATTAGTTTATTATTTGCATGGTGAAGCAAAATGATGGGCAAGGAGCTTGAAGGCTTAAATTACAATGATTTGCACAACTTGGAGCAACAGCTTACTGAAGGAATTTTGTCAGTGAAGGATAAGAAAGTATGTACTATATTTTCCCTTAAATTTAATTTTATCCTAAATAACTAAAATGTTTAAACTCTATAATTAGGGGTACTGTAATCTATGCTACCTGGACTCGGATATGGGTCCATATCAGGTGTGGAGATATGAGCGTCCGACTCGTCAATAGTTTAGAAATCTTGAACATTTTAGGTTAAAATGCCACACCCAACACGCATACCCACACCAGTATCGACATAACATGACACGGGTATTCTTCCTAAATAGAAGAGTCCGGGTAACATAGATTGTAATCACTTATTTAATCAAAATTTGTTTCTAAACAAATGAGTTATATATATATTAGATAGAAATTTAATTTAGAATATGAATACCATAAGGCTAAACACAGGTACAACGTACTCGAGTAATGTGGCGACATTTCACATATATAGCGACAAACATTATCGCCACTAAAAATGATTATTTTTGTAGTGAGCTCTATATTTCATTTTATGATATAAAATGCTGCTAACTTTTTATTCTTAATTAATTGATTTCAGGAGAAAGTACTCCTGGAGCAGCTTGAAAAATCAAAATTGCAGGTTTCTTTATTTAAGTTCATTTTTTTTTTTTTTTTCACTTTAACCCCAACAAAAGGAATTATTTTTAATTTTTTTTTACTATTTTTCCCCCCTTTTTTTATTTTTAGGAAAAAAGAGTTGTGCAGCAAAATGATGCACTGCTGGAAAAGGTACTTATTATTAACCTCCAAAAAAAAAAAAAAACTCTTAAAAGGATTATTAACTTGCAATGAAAATTAATTTATTCTATTTACCTAATTAACACACTAGGATTATATGCAACTAGCATAATTCAAATTGAATATTATATAAAAAAATAAATTGCAGATTGAAGAGCTTCGACACCACGCAAGGCTGAGCAGTAGCGAAAATCATCTACACGTCCGAAAAGACGCGTGCGTGAGCTCGAGCAGCATATCTGAGAAAGAAGGAACTTCTGATACTTCCTTGCGTTTAGGGTAATTTATGATTTAATCATATGCTTAGTTTGTAATATGACTATTAACTTACATACATATAATTTTAATTAATATTCATTATTTTTGTCACTTCTAATGTTGTATACTATATATAACTTTAAATGTGAACAGATTTTCGTCGGTCGATCTTTCTGGGAAGACAACAGTAGCTAAAACCGAGCCAGCCGATGACCGGAAAAATGCCATGATAATGGACTAACAGGTGGTTGTTTCATGCAGATATGTGATTACATATATGCAGCCTACATTTTAAGATGTTTTTTTTTTTTTTTTTTTGCCCCCATGAATTGATATGAACATCAAAGCTCAATTAACTGTTTTATTTTTTTATTTTTATTTTTTGGAACAAATTTGTCTTGTGCCAAGATTGTATACATAATATATATTCAATAATATTTGGACTTAGTATATATTATTTTTTGTCAAGACCAGTAGAGTTTCATTGTTGGGTATTTACATTAGCTATATTATGCTATTTGTTGGAATTAGTTTAACATCGAGCATAATTGGTGAACCATCGTCATCTGATTAATTTTATCGAGCCTTACTGGATCGGTCCAAATGAGTCCAATGAGTTATATAAGCCCATAATATAAGCCCATAATTATGCAAACATTGATTCGTGTGAGATTTTGACATTCTAATTTTATTTATTTATTTTTGAGTGACATTTTAATTTTTTATTATATTTATCGATTTTATTGAAATGGTTTTAAACATTAAATATATGGGTGAGATTTGAGTTAAATTTTTGTATTAATTCTTTGCAATCTCATTAACTCTTAAGAAGTCAAAATAATTTTCATTGATAAATCAATTAAACATCACATAATTTTTACAAAA